ACAAGTGGAAAATTCCCAGGATTGGGCTTTGGAATGTCTTGTTCAGAGAACCAAAAGGAGGCCAGTCACTGGAGTTTATTCAATGGGGCAGAAGGATAATGGTGGGGTGGTGGTGGTCAGACCTGCACTTCAGGAAAATAAATTTGATAGCTGAGTAGAGGATAGATTGAAGTGAAGAGAGACTTAATGCAGCGAGATCAATCAGCAGGCTATTGCAATAGTCTAGGCATAAGGTGATGAGGGCTTGGACCAGGGTGGTGACAGTGTCAGAGGAGAGAAGTATACATCAGAAATGTTACAAAGGGAAAAGAGAAGGGAATAAGAATTTATTTAATATCTATTATGTGTCAGGCATTGTGCTTTACAGTTATCTCCTTTGATACACACAACAATCCTGTGAGGTAGGTGCTATTATGATCCCCATTTTACAGTTGAGGACACTGAAGTAGCAGAGGTTAAGTGATTTGCCCAGGTTCACACAGCTAGTTAAGTGTCTGGGGCTGGATGTGAACTCCAGATTCCAGGCTCAGTGCTTCTATCCATTGTAACCTAACTGCCTCTAGGAAGAATTGACAGCACCTGGCAACAAACTGGATATGTGTGGGTGGAAGCTGTGAGAAATCAAGGAGTTGAAGATGACGCCTCGGTTGCAAGCCTGGGTGACTGGAAAGATGGCGGTGGTGACAATCAAATATGAAAATTAAACTTAGGAGGAAAGATAAGTTTAGTTTTGGACATGTTGACTTTCTAAGGTCTACAGCACATCTGGATAGAGATGTCCAACAAGCATTATTTGTGTGTGTGTGTGTCAAAAGTTCAGTAAGAACTGTATCTTTAACAAGATCTCAGCTATTTCCTGGTCTTTTGGATATGCTCATGCCAGCGATAGTGGACCATGCTAGCAAACAGTTAAGGTACCGTGACAGTACCATTTTCTGATGAATTACCAGGTTTGTCAACTTCAGGGACAACCCATTAAAACTGAAAGTCACACTTCCTCCCAGTGAAAATGCAGATGAAGAGGAGGAAAAGGAATTATTTGGCATTGAATTTATGCACGTATATATCCAGGAGTCCCGTAGGAGAACAGGTAAGAGCTTTGTATTATCAGAATTTGGATGAAATAGTAATTTCATTGATGTGTATATTCCTTTTTTTCTTCCATTTACTGTCTGACTTTTTTTTTTCTAATTCACTGACAGAAATGGAAATAGAAATGTAGAAAAATCAATTCAGTCCATAAATTGAGTGAAAAGATGTAAAAGAAATTATAAGCATTCCTTTCTTAACTGCATGGATATTCCTCAGGTTTATTACATCAATTTTCTTATATATCCCTGCTCACCTTTCCCCCTCCATTGTTGTAACAAAGATTATAAAAGAGGAAAAAATGCAGTTCAGCAAAACCAACCAACACATTGACTGATGCTATGTGCAATATTCTGTTTGGGTTCCTTGGTGGATCCAAAGCAATGAAAGGAGGGAGACATATCTTCCTAACTTTCCTTTGGGCCAAACTTGATCATTATAATCCCACTGTTTCATTTTACTGTTCTATTTCTTTTTTTTTTTTAGTAAATGCTTAATTTTTCCCCTTGTTCTGTGAACTCCACTCTGCATCACTTCATATGACATTTCCCAAGCTTCTCTGAATGCTTCACATTCATAATTTCTTACAGTACATTCAAGAAATCACAATTTAATTTAGCCTCTTCCCAAATGATTGTGCACCTACTTTGGTCCAAGTTCTTAACAACCATAAAAAAGTGCTGCTATGAATACTTTAGTATTTATGGGACCTTTCTTTCCATTTTTTGCCTCCTTGGAGTAAATGTTTAGTAGTGATATCTAGGGGAACTCCACAATTTTTAAAGTGGCAGGTGAATCTTTTGACCTCAGAACACCAAGCTGGGTACAGCTGAACATCACTGAGTCTGTTTTTGTTATCTGTAAAGCAAGGGAGTTGGATTAGATAATCTCTAGGATCCCTCAAAGCTCTAAATCATAGAATTTAATTCCCAAAACTCCACAGGATAATTCTTTTAGGGCAGTCCATAAGTAATTCTGATTTCCTGAGTACCCTGACATCCACTTTCTCCTTTCCAACCCTAAAATTCATTCCACCTAGAAATTATAAGAAAATTATAGGAAATGTATGTTATAAATATCATCCCAAATGAAGGTTTTGGTTAATATCTATGTACTATGGGTCTTAGTTACCAGAGAGTCAACTACTGAAAATTTCATTTTGATTTAGGAATGAAAACAAAAACAGTGCTTCAAATATTACATGGGGTATAGTGGAGGCAGAGAAAGATAATTCTTTTTAATTAATAAAAACGCCGATATTATGCTTCAGTACTTCAGATGTGCCTAATATTCACCAAAATGATATATTTCACACTTAATGGCTAATGGAAAAATGTATTATTTTGATAAATAGTAGCCTGTTTTAAGTCTTAAATATTAAAAGTGCTGTTCTTATTTTTTCCCCTTGCACAGATAGCTTTATTTTTTGGCTTGCCAATATCTGTTTTTTGTTTGTTTGTTTTTAGGCAATTGGGGTTAAGTGACTTGCCCAGGGTCACACAGCTAGTAAGTGTCAAGTGTTTGGTCTGAGGGTGGATTTGAACTCAGGTCCTCCTGACTTCAGGGCTGGTGCTCTATCCACTGTGCCACCTAGCTGCCCCCTAGATTGCCAATATCTGAGTGTTTTAACTTATTCCAGGAGAAAAAAAAAACACAAACCAAAAAATTGTAGGTTTAAGAAGGGGTTTCCTTAAGACAACCCAAGATCTCATGAGACTATATCACTGGGCAAAAAAGGGGATCAGTTTATATGCTGGCAAGTGTGAGGGGAAAATGTCCTCAAATACGTAGAGGATTATGGCCTGTAAGCAATCAAACTTGACCTAGAAAAAAAGAAATAGGGGTTCTTTGAAGGCATCTGTTCATTACATTATTGCAGCCCCCCCCCAAAAAAAAAGGCTAATAAAAAGATGGGAGGTCATCTGGAAGGCTATCAGAAAACAAAACCTTGGGCAAATCATTGCGCTTCTCTGGGCCCATTTCCTTATCTATAAAATTAGGCATTGCTAGATGATGTTTAAGGTTCTTTATGGCTTTAAACCTAAGGTTTTATAAACATGGTACTGTATTTAATAAAATATAATCTAACATCAATATAGTCTTTCCCTTGGCTAACAAAAATAATCATCTTCCTAAGTTCAACATGGGGCATATGTAATTAGAGAAGAATTTGTGTGAAAAAGGCCTCGAAGTTTTAGAGGGCAAAATCTCATTATAAGTCAATAGTGTGACAATGAAGCCCCCAAATCTAATGTGATTTTAGGCTACATTGAGAGGCAAAGTGAACAGCACTAGTGAGGCAGCAGGCCCACTATCCTTCCTCTAGAGTATCATCTATTTTGTTTACATATAGAATGTGAGCACCTTGAGGTCAGGGACTATTTGTGCTTTTTCTTGGTATCCCCAGTGCTTAGCACAATACCTGGTGCATTGTTATGTACTTAATAAATGCTTGTTGACTGACTAATTGATGATAGGTGTCTAATAGTTTTAAGATAGTCAAATGGAAGGCCCAAAGACTTACTCTGACTCCATAAAGCAGAACTAGGATTATGGATAGAATCTTAAGAGTTCGAATTTGAAGGGATCTTTGTGATCATCTGTCCAATGCCCTCATTGTACAGGTGTTTAGAAGCAAGGTCGAGAGAGCCAAATGACTTATCCAAGGTCACAAAGACAGTAAGTGGTAGAGAAAGGACTTGAACCTATGTCCTCCTACTCTAAATCCAGTGTTCTTCCCACTGCTAGCCCCAGGAGAGGTTACAAAGAAGCACATTAAGGCTTCATGTGAGAAAAAAACTTGCCAAGAATTAGAGCTCTACAGAAGTGGAATGAGCTACCTTGGGAGGAAGCAGGTTTCCCCTCAAAGTGCAGCCTTTGACCAAATGCTGCATGACCATTTGTGGGGTATATTGTAGTAGGGATCCTTGGTTGACTAGATGACTTTTGAGGACCCTTCTAACTCTGAGATGTGATTCCGAGTACAGTCCAAGGGATTTATCCTCCAGGGCACAGCTTAGCTCAGTTCAGAACTGTTCCTTATCATGCTTACCTCAGGGTGATGAATTTTTAGCCATAGTAACACTTGAAGATCATTTCCTAAATTGTAGGTGAATAGCAATATAAGTGGGGAAAGGAATATGCCCACTGACAAAATCATGGTCCTTTAAGTATTGGAATATATATATTACACTAGATAATATGAATAAGTTTAACTTATGCTTTTGTACTAGCCAGTCTAGTCTGATACAATGAAAGCTTTATTGCCATGGTTTATGCCTTTTGGATCAGGGAATACTGATAACAATTAAAAAACTAAATTGAACCATTCCAATTTTATTTGATATGAAATTAAAAACATAAGAAAAATTGAATTAAGTAATTTTAGCTTAGGACTACAATATGTAATTAGAGACTGATATTTTAAAAAAATAATTTAAGTTTTGTAGCTAGCAAAAGTCAAAAGTTCTATAATAAAGAACAAGACAGACTTATCACCAATAATTCATTTACTCAAGTACAGACTATCTAGTAATGTCAGAGTAATCCAACATATTGTTGGAATTTCTCTAATAGGAATTATAAACTAATAATTCCTAAATATTAGTATAGTCACACCTGGATACTTGTTTTAGCAAAGATAACAACAATTAGAAGTAGGAAGCCTATACTCCTTTTTTAAGAGGTATTTTTTAAAAGATGAGGGTAGAATAATATCAGATGCTACAAGAAAGTATGGAAGCACTATCATATTTTTTCATGTTTATACTTCCCTATGCATAAAACTCACTGGCCAAAGATGAGAAGCCTAAGCAAGAAATGAATATTTTTGACTCTACTGCCTAAGTCCCTTTAATTTCCTCTTCTCAAACTGAGGAAAACACTGGGGATACTGGTAAATGTAAAAGGCGTTAGCTACAGAAAATGTTTATTTGGAGAATTCCTAACCAGCTCATTATTAGGTAAAAATATAATACAAAATCTGTATTTCAAGTAAACATTTCTTCTTTTCTGGTTTTGGTCACCTGTAAATTCTGATATGATGTGGATATTTCCAAAATCTATCTAAGTGACCTTACTGATACCAATTTCATAACCTGCTTGTGATGTTTTGGGTATTTGTTTCCAATCATAAACTGGTTGCCTTTCTTGGATTTACCTCAACAAATCTTTATGTATTTCAGCAATTCTGAAGTTTTGCCTTGTTCTAAAAAAATCCCTTAAAAATATTTATTTGTTACATATATAGAGCAAGATTCAGAAATTATACAATAGAAATTAGCTAAGAACAAAAGGAAATTAAATTCTTCTAAAGTTTACGCAAAGAGGCACTTTTGTTAAGATTCTAGGTTATACGTGGGAATGCTTTTATATTTCAGAAAACAAAGAAAATTGTTCAACTGTTTTGCCAGTCTCTATAAATAATGATGAATAAAACATTTCAAGATGACCTACTGAAAAGGATTATTTTGAGGATCTGGTAAATTATCTAAACATCAGCACTTCTGAAGTCTTTGAAAACAAACATCAGAACTTGAAGAGCTTACAACATACAAACATGTTTGTATTATCAGTTATTTAAAATGTTTTGAGTTTCTTTTTGTGAATATAAAAAACCATAATTTGAAACTTTACTTTTTTGTGTGAGACAATTTTCCCATAATTTTTGGATAAATGATCTTATCTGTTTAAAATATCCAGAGAAGGGCTATAAAATTGTTCAGTAGGAACTGTTCGGATTTCTCTTTCATCATGTAGTTGAGTCTGGTGTTGAAGACTGTCTGGGCAAAGCTGTTAACAGGACATTTTCTAAAGACACAAGGGAGTCTGTATAGTATTGTAAGGAAGCGTTGTATCCCTTCTGCTGTAAATACTGGATTCGGCCTTGGTCAATCAGTAATTTACAGAGACGACCTATATTTTTCCTTTCTTCGACAGTAAGAAGCCTAAATCCAAAAATAAGAAAAAACAAAATTAGAATAAAATTAGCAACTTTTTTCAGAATCACAAAGTAGTACATAAACTGCCATACAGTATTTATAACTATGTATGGTAATTTCTTAGCCAAACCATTAATAAGCACCCAATAATTACTTTATCATGTCCCAGAGCTGGGCTACATGCTGAACCTACTCTTCATGTCTTCTAAGGGACCTTTTATTTGAGACCATAACTGATTTATTAATTTTAATTTACTGTAAAATTCAATTTAGAATTCCATTTTATAACCTGTGTTATACATCTGGAGAAGTTAAACAATCATTTCTCCTTCTTGTTGAATATCACAAAATAAGTCACTTACCCAGGTAAGCCTCCAGGATTATCATCTGTTTTCCTGTATCCCTCATGGTCATGCTCTTCATTATCACTGGTCTGATCATCTCTTTTCTTTATATTAATTTTTGATGTTTCCAAAGTTGTTTCCCGCATCCCACAAGTGGCCCAGCTACTCATTCGTTGGAAATAGTTAAATTCCACTGGCCCAAGTCCTAGGGTCTTGAAAAATTCTTTACCCACGTAATGCCTCCAATCACACCTGTGATGACAACAGAGTGCAATAACGATGCCAGCCACAGGGATCCACTGCTCTAATTCATTCTTTTCACTTCCTTCACTTACTGAAGTGTCATTTTCTGTGTCTGTTTTCTTTATACGCTTGGCAACCGGTTCCTCATTTCTTTCTTTGCATCTGGTAGGATAGGTTTCAACTAAACATCGCAATGCAAGATCTGCAAACATAATTATATCAGATAATCATCATCATTATATCACATATCATATAATCTCCAATCCCCATAATTACATCATATAATTCCACATTGTAAGAAATAAATATTTTGTACATTTACTAAGCAATACAATAAATATTTTCCTTTATCTCTGAGTGAATTATCTGTTTTATTCTATAAGTTCTTGGTGTGTTCCTTTCAATTCATATACATTCTCATTTTTTTCTAGTGATTTATTCTGTAATAAAGCCTATATCCCCAAAACAGCTGGAAGGAAGAGAAGTTTAAGACTTGCAGCCTGGAAAAACCTTAATTTTCAAGCAGCTAGATTTCTTTTCTCCTTCCTCAGACCCAATAAAGCTCAGTGTTGCCAAAAAAAGAACCTTTATCTAAAACAAACAAACAAACAAACAAAAAAACCCTACCTCTAAAACCCAGGGAAATTGTTAATCAAACTGAAAACAAAGTAAATAGAACACAGAGAGAGGATGAGAAGGGAGGGGTGTGAACAGCTTTCCCTTAGGTTCCTAGATATGGAGGTGTGTGGGTGATACCTTCAAAGCAGGAAGAAACGAGTACAGGGGAAGTGATAAGAAAGTTCCACCATTTTCCAACAAATTTCAATTTGTTACTTGATTTCTTTCTTTCTTTCTTTCTTTTTAAGCAATAAAGAGCTGACAATTCCATAACACTTTAAGATCCACAGAGCACTTTCCTTAAAACAATCCTGTGAGTGCAAGGACTGTCACCTCCATTTTACAGTTGAGAAAACAGGCTCTGAGATAGAAAATGATTTGCCTGCCACTCATCACAAAACTATTAAGTGCCTTGGGCAGGACTGGAACCCAGATCTCCTGCTTCCAAGCAGTGCTTGCAAATTCAATTTTAGAGCTGAAAGGGATCACAGAGACCATCTGCTCCAACCTCTTAATTTTATTGATGAGGAAAATGAGGTTTGGAAAAGTATGACAAGGTCATACAGATAGTGGCAAAAGTGGAACAGGAAATCCAGCTCTTGGGACTCATAATACTCCAGCACTAGGCCTAATATCCTACCTTGTTAAAAAGGCAAAACAATCTTGTTTATAGCTATAAAAATCAACTATGTTATAGAAAGAATAACTAAAAAACAGCATATCTCTTTATCTGTGTGGCTAAAGGCTTAATACCAACAAGACTAATATTGACATCAAAATGAATAATGGTCACTTAACTATAACATTATTTGATCCCTTGAAATCCACAGAAATAACACAAAGGTCACTATCGGGGTCTTTCTACATAATTTCTATCTCTACCACAGTTAGCCCCTCCATTTCCCAAACTGGGATGTTTAAATACTATTGTTGAAGGTGAGAAGGGAAGATGGTGGGGATAAGGTCTTAAAGGAATTATTTCAAGACAAAAACAAAAGTACTCCTCTTCCAAAAGGTTTTCTGCTTGTTCTGAATGAGCAGCAGCAGCTGTGGCAACTCTGACCAGCTCTGTCCCGGGATGCAGAGACCCAAACGCAGGACCAACTAATCAGGTTTTGATATTTCCTCTCCTTCCAACTGACTCCATTCCCAAAGACAGACGGAAACCAACGTTCTGAAGTGGCTTCTTTTACCTTACCTTGACAAAACAAAAAAGGTTTTCTACTTATTTCTATATTCTACTTTTATTATTCTCATATTCCTGAAATTTCCCTAATTCTCTGTCACCCAACAATCCCGATGTCTTAGAACTGGGAAGTATTATGAAAAGCAATCCCTCCGAGGGCAAAGGATAATAATAGTCTTTGTGATATAAACAAAACGGTTCTTTTAATTCTCTTAAGACTTGATAAAAACACGAATTGTACGCGCGCGCACACACACACACACATACACATGCACACAGAAAATTAATATTTAAAGTAGCCCTGGTCATGTGAAGTAGTAGAAACAGTCTACTTTTCATTTTTTAAAAAATTGTATATTTTGCTACTTCACAAGGCTAGGGCTACTTTAAATATTAACAGAATTTATTAATGTTTTGGGTTTTTGTGAAGATAAAACACAATTTTAAAAATGTTTAAGTATTTACAATAAGCAGACCTAGAAACTGGGAGAGATAAAATCCAGATAAGGCAACCTCTGCCATCATGAAGTTTAGTTAAAAAGGGAATATGACCTTTTCTATACTGTCAAATAATATATGGTAACTGCATAAAAGGGTTAAAGGAAAGTGTTTTGTGAGGTCTGAGGAAGAAGGGGCATTCCTTGTTGGGAGAATTTGGGAGGCTTTATGAAGGGGGTAGCATTTGAGTTGGGTTTTAAAATTGGCTAGAAATTCAATGAAGGGGATAAACTGGGGGATGAAGGAAAAGAAAAGTATTTCAGGCACAGAGAACAGTGTGAGTAAAGGCATTTGAGTAGGAGAGTATAGGGTGTATATAGGAGGACGTGGTGATGAGATCAATTTTGTTAGAGCACCAAGCACAAGGAAGAAGATACTATCATATCAAGCTGGCATGGCAAGGTGCTGGTGAGGCTCAAGGAAGAAATTATCTTTTGGATCTGTGCAAAGGGGAAGAGTTCAAGACCAAAATACTATAAAGAAAATTACAGAAGATAAAATGGACAATTTTGATTATATAACATCTACATTTTTTTGCACAAGTGAAACTAATGTGGTTAAAATCAGAAGGGAAACAGTTAATTGGGGAAAAAAATTTGCAGAAAGTTTCTCTGAAAAAGATCTCATTTCTAAACTATATAAGGAATTGATTCATGTTTATAAGAACAAGGACTGTTCCCCAAACAAATGACAAATCATCAAAGAATATGAATAGGTAATTTTCTTTTTCTTTTTTTTTTTTTTTTT